CCAGCATGCTCGGCACTCAAACCAGTCACGTGATTTTGATCACTACGAATTTTTTTTCGAAACTTTGTAAGCTGAAACTTTCAATGATTATGCAATAATTATTTATGGCTCTAGCAATATAAACATGTTTTGTACCTTGCGAATTAGGCCTAAATAACCCAAATTTTGATATTTACAAGTACAACTTACCGGTAGAGCCTTTACTTTCCACATTTTTGGGTCAGCGGAGAGGAGAGGAGATTGTCAGCAACTAGAAAAGTTTATTTCGTCACGGGGAGTTGTTTACAGCGCGCCGCGTAACGCAGAAGGTAAGGACGCGGAAATAGGGCACCGCGAAAACAGGTCCTCCCACGATATATCAAAGAGTTGAGGAATCAATACTTTATAGAGACAACACACTGTATGCCTACTTAGAGATTTGAGTAAGTTACAAGGCCAAGTGAACAGGGGAAGATTGTTAAAAAAAAACCGTCTAAAATAATGTACACTGAAAATCTAAACTGTAAGTAGCTTAATACAAGTCAAATTGCTGTCAGCTGGATTTTTTTTGGGGGGGGGGGTGATCATGCAATTATCTTTATTGCTGAAAATTAAAAGGGCAATGTTGTTTATGCAATCACTCCCACCACATTCCCAACAGTTTGCTCATTTGAGGCAAAAATAAGAAAACCACTCGCTTAAATGATTGAAATTGAAGCTCAATTCAAAAGCACATCAAACACAAAAATAACAATTTCACAATCTGGCAGATGCCAGTAAAAATTCTCAAGCTTCAAAAAATTAAATTTTCATGGAACCCATGAAAGTTGGAATTGCTTTCACCACTTACATTCAAAATTATTACTGATCTTTATTGCTCACTGGTTTTCTTTGTGCATGTTCTAACATTGTGGCCCCAGGCTCTGTTTACAAGAACTGCTTATTAATGTGTTTCATCAAGTTAAGTTCACAAATTATCAGGATAACTGCAATCTACACCCAGTGAATGGGTGTTTTATTGCTCACTGGTTTTCTTTGTGCATGTTCTAACATTGTGACCATTCTGTTTACAAGCACTGCATACTAATTTGTTGGGTTTCATTAAGTCAGGAGTGTTGATATTTTCAAAATACTCCACTCGGTTTTGCTTGTCCATGAGCTGAGAGAGGGCATACACCTTTCTATGATTGGTGCTTCTGAAATATGACTTCTTGGTCATGTCGTTCAGCTTCTCTAGACCTTGCTGGGTAAACTGAGAAATTGCTCCAAAACGTCCCAGCAAGTCGGGAACGTGTGCAACAAGAACATGGATGTAAGGTGTGACATGTCGCTTCTGGTATATTTCACAGAATTTAGTGAACCAGTTGTTAACCCTCTCTTTATATGCATGCACCTCTGATGCATTGTAAGAACCCTCTGTATATGAGAGTTTACAAGCTAACTGGTAACACTCATCCCAAAGATACTGAATGTTCTGCACTTTAGTCTCTTCCAAGTCTGGAAAGATTTGAGAAATCTTGATGTTAGGGAACAGTTTCTGTTTCTGTGGGCTATTCAAAGTTGGCCACTTCAGAGCCTTGGACTCTCTACCTATGTAGAAATGAAATCCTGTTATGCCTACTGATGCAAGGAAATTTTCCAATCGAGCACAGTGGGTGAACTTTTTCCTGTCAAATTCTGTGAATTTTGTCATCTTATCAACTGCATCAAGCCTTCGGGCTTCCAGAATAAGCATATTCATCAGAGTATCAGTAATCCTCAGCAACAAATGCAAGTTATCAACAACTACATGAGAGATGGGTATTGTTGGGAAAAAAGGTTGGTTTGAGCAATTAAACTTTTCCTTTGATTTCTTAGGTAGTTTTGCACATCTCTCTACTTCAGCAATTGATCTGTATTTACAACTCTTGTCAGGCATTTCATAATTCTGGTTAGACAGATAAAACATGTCTGAGGGGCATTTACAATAAATGCATGGGAATTTGCAAGATGCACAGTCAATCCCCAACACACAAAGAAGGAATTTGTAGTCACCACCTAGATGATATGACAATTTGTACAAGTAGATAGTCGCCCACAAGAATTTCTGTGTTCTGTGAAACAGCTTGTATTAAATCTGCCAAGTGGGTTTGGAGAGCGGAGTAACCTTCCTTATCTTCAAATATAGCAAGTAGATAATTGCCACTACCTGACATAGCCCGGTCTTCATTAAGTATAGTGAACGTTACATTTACAGCATGCAGATGCTTGCCCACCCAAGTACCATCTCCTGACAATTTTACCCGCACTTCATCTCCCTCTTTTATCTTTCCCTGTCTTTGAAGAACCTCAACCCTTTCTTTTAGCAGCTGAACAAAATCTCTCTGAAATCCAATTGCCTGTGCAGGCGTGGGTCTCACTGTGCTTGTTAGTTGCTTTATTTGTGCTTTTTTTTATTCTTGATCTGGTTAATGCTCGGTAAATCACTTGCTGTACCCAGGGCGTGATATGCTGTATCAGAGATGGAAAACTTGTCTTTAATATACAGCAAAGCAATAACCTTATCCGCTGCATTTGAAATGCCAGAAACTGAAGGCGGTTGATCATTCAGTACACAAATATGTTCAGCTTTCTTTGTGTGAGTATTACGTAAGACAAGGGATGAAACTTTTAATCCTTGAAAATCTAAAAAGCCAAGAGCAGCTTTACAGTCATCCTTTAACTGTTTCTTTAGGCGAAATGCCTGAGCCCTACTGTATGGCTTGTATCTTTGCACACTTGAAGTTCTGTATTTGCAAACTATGCGTTTCGATATTTTGTTGCATTGGGTTTGCAACTTCTCAAACTGGATTGTTTTTGTGACACTACCTCAGTTAAGTCATTGACTTGTTTCTCAAGTTCTGCTACCCTCGTCATCAAACTTAGATTACAAAACTCATCATTGAACACCTTGAATTTCCAGATTCTGTTCTTTTTTAACCATAAGTTAAACAAGTCTTTTTGCTTTCCTCCCTTCCAAGATTTTCGTACCTGTTGTTTGACTCTACTTATTTTTGTCTGTATCTGCTTGTGAACTCTTCCTGTATATTTCAATTGAACATTCGAGTAGTCACATATTAGTTTGAAAACTACACTTTCTACATTGCCAAATGAATCTGTTTGCCTTGTTTTTACAGCATCACATATTATTTCAGTTGGAACCTTCAGAAGTGTGTGCGAACGATTCATATTTTCTTAAAGTTATGGTACACCTTTTATAATTTGCCAGGAAGAAACTTTTAGTAACACAGGTAACAAAATGTTACATTAATTGAAACAATCAACAACAACTAAATGCCTGAAAATTACTGGCTTAAAAAGGTGTACTATATCTTTATGTTTCCTACATTAAATGAGAAAATCATCAAATGGCCCTATACTCAGTGTCTCCATGGCAGATCACAAGGGATCTTGTCTGTGACTTCTGTTTCTGTAGCATCTCCACGAACGAATTGGAACTTCACAAAGTTACCTTCATGTCTGACGATTTCCTTCCCATGAATGTCATACTCGTATATGGGCCGATGTTTATGAAGGGAAATGGTGGCTGTTCCAGGAATCACATAGCAGCATTCTCTGCTCTTGTTGAAGCGTTCCATCCAACCAGTACCGAGTACATCATTAAGTTCACTGTTTGTGGGGTATCTGATTTTATTCTGTGTACCAAAAAACTCTTCATACACATCAAACTGAATGTCACGAGTGATTGAAATATGAGGGTCAGCTTTCCTCTTCCCAAGTAAATTACGTTTTGTGTCTAGTCTTAAATTCGCGCAAAACAGTTTCTGCCTATCATCTAGAGATGAGGGTGTCGAGAGGCATTGGATGTTGATGACATCTGCACATTGAGATTTGGGCAACCACTCGTTGTATTTAGTCGTTGTCACTGCAGCAGCTGTGCAGTGAGTTTGTCTTAAGTTTATTAATTTTCTGAACAAGTTTTTCATAGTTTAAATTTAGAATTCCATTTTTTAGAGTATTACTGCATATTTAGTGAAAGAGCCTACAGTTAATGTTCACCTTATAATAGTGAAAGAGCCCACTTATGTGTTGCATTAAGTAGCCTCCTTCCCACCACCAGAGTGACCTTGTGCACTTCCTGTGTGCATACAGAGACCCTGTGTGGGTACAAGTACCACATAATCTTGCCACATAAACAATGGGCAGCCATATTTACTGACCATGTGATTTCAGAGACAAGTGTTTTCATACTCATTGCGATTTAGTTCTTCAAGTTTCATCAGTTTATTCACTCTTTGTGGACCTTGAAAGACCCCATTTTGGTAAGAAGCATTTTTCCTTGATTTTATGAGTTACTTTTAATAAGTTTAGAGACAGAATTCAGTGGATTTTCTGAGATTTTACAGTTGATTATTCATTCAGCAAAAACAGATTGAACTGCAAATAGTGTTTAGATATGACAAATCAGACTTCACATTTTTGGACTCAACTTGCCATGTTTAATAGATTAGACTTTTCCATGTACATTTATTATAGTTTTCTTATTAGTGTTTTTTCTGCTTTATTAAATTGCAGATTGTTATCTCAATCTCAATCTACTATCAGCAATCACCACCATGTTGTCAAGTGGCTTCATTGTGTTTTGTGTGTGGTTCCTGGATTGATTGCGAATACCAGTCACTTGGGAGTCCTTTTCTCATAAGTTTGAGAACTAGTCCGAAACTCCTCTGGGCACAAGTGAGCCCCGAGGCAGCCACAGTCGTATACTACTCTCTTCTCAACCACGGTCTTGACCCTGCCCTTCAAGATGTCGATGATGTCGACCGTCTCGAAACCAGACTTGTTGGCACTTGTGGGTGGAGGGCTCGAAGTGGAGGGGCCGGGACTGCTTAAGGATGAACTGCCTGAGGAGCTGCTACTTGATGTACTGTCGGTGGACAGCGTTGGGCTGGTGGGCCCCCTGATGGATACAGGCTTGCCTCCGCCCACCCGTGGAGACACCGGGGTGTTCCCCCCCAGCAGCTCATCCAACTCATCTCCCATCAAGGAGATGTTGGCGTGGTAAACCGTCTCAAGATCCTCCATCTCCTCACCTTCCTCCGGTCTTCCTTCTTTCTCCTCTGCTGGTCCTTCTCTCCTTTTCTCCACCGGTTCTCCTCCTTTCTTCTCTGCTGGTCCTTCTCTCCTTTTCTCCACTGGTTCTCCTCCTTTCCTCTCTGCTGGTACTTCCCTCCCCCTCTCCTCTGGTCTTCCTCCTTCCTTCTCTGCTGGTCCTTCTCTCCTTTTCTCCACCGGTTTCTCTCCTTTCTTCTCTGCTGGTCCTTCCCTCCTCCTCTCCTGTGGTCTTCCTCCTTCCTTCTCTGCTTGTCCTTCTCTCCTCCTCTTCTCCGGTCTTCCTCGTTCCCTCTCTGCCGGTCCTTCTCTCCTCTTCTTCTCTGGTCTTCCTCCTTCCTTCTCTGCCGGTCCTTCCCTCCTGTTCTTCTCCAGTTTCCTCCTTCCCCCTCTGCCGGTTCTTCTCTACTCCTCTCCTCTGGTCTTCCATCTTTCTCCTCTCTCCGGACACTTCCAGGCATGTGAGAAACCCAGGTGTGCTTCCTCAGATCTTCGAATCGGATGAATGCATCTGGGCATTGAGGACACCTGTATTTCTCTCTTTCTTTTTCGTGTGTTTCCTCATGTCGCCTAAGGTTCCACTGGCGCCAAAAACTCTGCCCACAGATGTGGCATTGGTGGCTTGGTGGCATGATGATTTCTGCTGTAAGGACAGAAAATAAACAAAGAAAATACTCTGTTACTCGAACTAGACTCAGTATCTACATGTATCTACATACACTGGTGAATCTGCCAGACCAGTGCTCTGGTTACAAATAACGCAGGGGAGTTCTGCGTTGTCTCGGAGGATTACTCCTTACTGCAGCTGGAGCAGACCTTCTCCTTCTCTCCTGGCTACTCCCTTCTGCCTGTGGTCCAACCCAGCTCTCTCTGTCTTGATTCCCGCATGGTTTTAGACGATCAGCATGTACCACCTGCATCTTCCCCCTCGGCTTGTCCTGTATCCTAAATACAACATCAGATATCTGTTTAATGACAAGATATGGCCCTCCCCATGGTAGGTTCAGCTTTCGGGATTGTCCTCGTTTTCGACTGGGATTATGGAGCCACACGAACACCCCTTCATGAACTTCGCTTGTATGAGCTCTGCGATCATAGTTTTTCTTCTGCCTAACAGCGGAACTCCTCAGATTCTTCCTAGCTGCTTCGTGAGCTTTCTGCATCCGCATCCGCAGTTTTGCAGCATAATCACCTTCATCTAAGTCATCTCCGGTCCACACCTTCTCCGCTACTACATCTAATGGAAGAGTTAGATCGCGCCCCAACATCATCATGTTTGGTGTTTCACCTGTTGACTCTTGTATTGACGAACGATAAGCTAATGTCGCAAATGGAAGTTGATCATCCCAGTCGTGTTGCTGCCGCACAAGATCGATCAATGTGGAAACTATGTTCATGAGAGTGCGGTTGAATCTTTCAACCATCCCATCAGATTTGGGGTTGTAGCTTGTTCTTGTTTTACTCATTCCCAGCCATTTACACACCTGTTGCATCATTTCAGCTTCAAAGTTTCTCCCTTGATCCGTGTGGAGCTCATGAGGGACACCAAACCGGCAAACAAACTCTTCTACAAAAGTTTTCGCCACGGTTTCTGCCCTTTGGTCCGGTATTGCAAACGCTTCCATCCATTGGGTGAAATAATCACCAATGACCAATATGTACTCATTACCCTTGTCTGTTTCAGGTAGAGGCCCTAGTATGTCCATAGCGACTCGTTCCATCGGCGCTCCCACCTGGTACAGCTGTAGTGGTGCCCGATTTTTCTTGGGTGGCAGCTTTCGACGTGCACACCTGTCACACTTTCGTATGAATGAGCGTACGTCTGCTGACATACCAACCCAGTAGTATCTCAACTTTACTTACTAAGAGTTTTACGTGTTCCCAAATGTCCGGCAGATTTTGAACCATGTAATTCCTCCAAGATTTCCTTCCTCAGTTTCGGTGGTAAAATCACCTTCTTCTCGCTGTGCCGACCATCTGGTGACACCCACTGCTTACACAATACTCCACCTTGTACTTCTAATTGGTCCCACTGGGCCCAGTACGTCTTCAAAGCAGGTGAAGATGCAGAAACTGTATTCCAATCTGGACGCTTATCGCTCCCTTCCTTGGCCAAAAGAATGCTGGCAATAGTTAAGTCCTCTAGTTGTTCCTGTCGCACATCTGCACGACTAATCTCGGGCTGCCAAGTCACTGTCCTCGCAAAAGCCCCTGTTTCTGAAGTAGGAGACTACTTTGTGTCCCGTTCCCCAACCTCTGGCTCAACCAACATGTCGCAATTCTCTTCCTTCACTGGTGATGACACCTCCGGTGACACTTCCTGCCGACCACATTGTTTACATGGATTTCTAGACAGACAATCAGCGTTTGCATGTAGGCGTCCCGGCCTGTGTTCTATAGTTATGTCGTATTGTCCAACAACTTCCATCCATCGTGCTAGCTGACCGTCGGGATTTCGAAAATTTGTCAACCATCTCAGGGAGCCATGATCAGTCCTCAACAACACCTTCCTTCCGTAGAGATAATGTCGGAAATGTCTGAGGTACAACACCACTGCGAGCAGTTCTCTTCTGGTCACGCAGTAGTTTCTCTCTTGTGAGCTCAGGCTTTTGCTCGCGTAGGCAACCACCCTTTCGTGTTCCCCTTGCTTCTGCGAAAGTACCGCCCCTGTAGCAAAATTACTGGCGTCGGTGTCCAGTATGAAGTCTGCTTTGGGGTCTGGATACGTGAGCACTGGGGATTGAATAAGTCTACTCTTGAGCGCTTCAAATGCCTCTTCGCATGCCTCCGTCCGTTCAAACTTGTGATGCTTTTCGGTGAGCTTGTGTAGAGGACGGGCAATATCCGCAAACCCTCTGATAAATCGCCGATTATATGAAGCAAGGCCCAGAAAACTTCGTACTTGGGTAACATCTCTAGGGCGTGGCCATTCTTTCACAGCTTTGACTTTCTCTGGGTCAGTTTCTATTCCACTTTGTGAAACAACATAACCCAGGTACAGAACTTTACGCTGGTACAAGTTACACTTCTTCGGCTTCAACTTAAGTCCTGCTTCTCTAAGTCGTTGCAGAACCACTTTTAGGCGATCCGCAGCCTCTTCTTCGGTATTGCCATGAACAATGATGTCATCAAGATAAACTAGCAGGATATCCCACTGGATTCCTGCCATAACACGCTCCATGAGTCTCTCGAACGTTGAAGGTGCATTTGAAAGGCCAAATGGCATGACGTTCCATGCATACAGTCCACCCCTTACCGCAAAAGCTGATTTCTCTTTCGCTGTTTCATTTAACTTATGCCTAGGACCTGTATATAAACAGTGGCTTGTTAGACGGCGACTGCCTTTTAACAACTAATAAATATAAATTACATATTTCCTAGAACTCTCCGTTTGGAATAAACAATGATGCCCTATACGACAAAGCAATCTAAATTAGATTTCCGTACCGGAGTCAAACTCAACAATCAAGAATAATCACTGGAGTAAATTGAGTCATCAGGAATAATCACTGGAGTAAATTGAGTCATCAGGATTAATCACCGGAGTACATTGAGTCATCAATTATAAATGTATAAAGCCGGATCTTGTTTAAATAAATGCACACTAGACCTTCTAAAACATCTTGTCAATTATTATTCAACTCCAAGGCAATGCGCCAATAATTATATACAGCAATTTAAAATAGATAGTGTTACCGGAGTCGATTACGTAACCGAGCCGGAGCCGGAGTAAACTGAGTACTAAAAGCATTTCCTGACATAAATAATTCAGAAGAACTAATAAAATCCGTCCAATTATAAAATAAGCAATTATGTGTGGATCTATACTTGAGGTTTCTTAAATATGCATCTTTGACAATCATGATAATTTCACAACACTTGAGAGAGTCTTAGTTTAGATTTATAAATAACGGAGGCACTAACCTGTATATAAACAGTGGCTTGTTAGACGGCGACTGGCCAGCCTAGTAACACACTTTAACTTTTATATGGCCCGCGCTACGCACAGTAAGTCTCGTACAAAAGACGTCAAAACTTGACCTAGTTTTACATAAGTTACAATTTCCATAATTTCCTACAAAAGGATATCAAATAATTGTTTGAAACATATCAAATAAATTCAGTTATTTTACAGCCAAAAGCACATTCTCTTAGGGGAATTCTACATAACTAATTTGGCAAGAGTTTGGACGAGGCTATACAAAACAATAACAAAGTACATGTACATCGCTGAATTATACACACACTGGGCGCGCGGCTCGTAATGCAATGTAAGTACAAGTAAGTTATCCGTATGGGCAAAAGAATCAACATTTATATCTTACTAAAGAAACTAGCGATTTCTGATAAAGAGATAATTAATTGAATTATACAAAAACCTGAGTAAATAAAAACAACACCAAGGGGGGTCCAACCGCTACAATATTTTGCAATTCAATGATTACTTAAACAAGATAAGTTCCTTTTTACCGGTTATTTCTTGCAACATATGATTGTGAAAAAGTTGTTATTTGGTCCATAATTGGGTGATTGTTTTTCCACTCACATTCCCTGAGAATAGGACAGCCGTCCTAATTTGAAACTTGTTTTTTTGGGGACATTTTCTTTGTTTGTCAGGAGCTATTATGTTTTGTGAATGTTTAGTTTACAATTTGTGACCTCTACTAACTTTGCCAAAGTTGAAATATGCCTTGTAGTAAACTTCATGGATAATTTATTTTTAATTAATATGAGGTGGGTAAAAACATTAGTATTAATTATATTTAGAGCTTCATCAGCCCAAGTCAACATGGTCAAGGGCTACATGTCATGTACTAACTGTTTATCTTATCGAAGATAGCCAGGTTCCTTCCGAAAATACTCTGGTGTAACAATTTTACAATACCAGAAGTAATGTGCAGTGGAATTCTGCACAGGATGAATTCGAGGATAAACTGTAAAGCATGGGAGGACCATTGATATCATGAGACCAGGTTGATACGTATATGAGTGTATGGATGACTAGGCCCTAGACTAGAAAAATCTGACTGACGCTATATTTGGACAATATACCACCAAAGCAGACGCTACGATAGATGATTTACAACAGAGCCGGCCACGGACATCTCTATGCATTCAGCACGAATTATGCCCGCAATGACTTTTGAATGAATAGAGATATAATATTCTCTGCTTTTCCCTTTCGTTTTAGCATATACATGTAAAATTATCTGACATAACAGGCCTTGCGCTAACTTTTTTTCCTGGCTAGCCCACTGGGCTAGTTAACTGGATATTTTAATAAGCCCGTTTAGGGTTTTACTAGCCCGTATATAAAACTTTTTTAAAAACCCATAATTTGTTATCAGCCTACCAGTGAAGAATTTGACATCATTTCGGAAAATAAAAGGCTGATGGTTTAAATGAATAAAGAGGCATGTATGTCAGTTAAAAGTCGCTTGAGTCACTGGGATCAAAATCATCTGGATAATTTATCTTCATCAGAGTTGCCAGGGTCACAGCCATGAGCTTCAGCCTGATCTTCATCCGAAGAACTGTCACTATCTTGGACCCACAGGTCTTGGGGTCATATTGTGCCTTCTTGATCCTCCTTGCTCCCCCATGACAGTTCCACAAGTTTATTGCAGGCATT